GGTTCTTATTCTTCATTAGCAAAATGGAGATGCTCCTTGCTCTCTCACTGGGCTGTCAGAAGGCAGAACAGACATGCTTGTATCCTCCAGTCTCACTGCCATCAGTGTGTAATACTTGGAAATCAATACTCATATCCTTTTATAAAAACATACTTCCAGACTCCAATCAACCCATCATTGGAACATCTACTGCACTCTTTCCTTTTTTTCTCTGTTTCCTAGTCCTTCCTCAAATACTTTTCTTTATGTCCATGCGGCTCTTTAGAAATCTCTTTCAAGGGCTCTCCAGAAACTTTCCTTCCCTGTGCAGTACCCTCCTCCTCATTTTTTTTTTTTCCCAATAAGATGAACGCAGATACCAAGCCCTTACGATCCTCATCATCGTGTACCTGTGGCATGGGGAAACTTGTGGGAAGGAAAGGGCAGATTAGAGAGCATTCATTGTGGTTAGGGATGAGGGCATGATGTGAGGGAGAGGTCTTTGGCAGCAGTAAAAAGCAAAATTTTAAAGATTGTGTGCATGCCTCCTAAACAAAACATAAATCTTATCTCCCTGCTGGTTCATATCCATCCTCGTTCATATTTGGGATATTATTGGCTGAGAGCTGAAGCAAAATAGAAATACTTAGTCACAAACAACACATTTAAGAAAAATGCTCACACTTCCTTTGTGATTTTCTGAATGTCTAGTAACATTCTCATATGTGTATCCATGAAGTCTAAATATTGTCTTAAGAGAGTAGATCTTTAAAGTTATCACCCCTAAAATTATGTAAGGGGGTGAAAGGTCCAGCTAGCCTTATTTTGGTAATCATTTTGCAGTATATATGTATATCAAATCATCACATCCTACATCTTAAGCTAACATATGTTATATGTCAATAATATCTCAAAAAATCTCAAAAAAAACCCCAAAAATAAACAAAAATATTGCCTTTGTGTAAGCTAGAGCTTCTCAAAATGTTTGTCTGAAATGCCTTACTAAAGAGACGAGAGTGAAGGCAGACAAGGAATGTGAGACCAAACCTGAAGAAATCTCCTAAATATCTGTGGTTTCTTTAAAGACCTAGGTCTTATCTCGGGAAAAAAATACATATGAATGTTGTCTTTTATGGCATAATCTATCTAAGCTTCTTTTATTATGAAAATGTCTTAAAGTATTCTACTCTCAAATTCTAGAAATATTGAAAGAACAGTGTGTATCATATAAATATTAATCTGTAACCCTAATGAATCCATGTCACTTGCGGTTCACACCCAGAGTTATCTCACACTTCACAAAATGTAGCATAAAATCGCAGCCAAAAAAGAAAACCCACTGAAAAGAAACTCTGTTCTTTTTTTACCTATTTTTCCTGAAGGATGTTGAAAGGGATCCAATTCATATCTCCACCCAGAAGGACTTATATTCCCTTTTCTTCCCTCCACAAGTAACTCTCCAAAGCATCATCCACTGCCACAGAATATCCCCTCCCTAGCCATTTTTCACACAGCTTTTACTGTCTCTTCCATTAAACTCCTTTCTCAGCTCTTTATTGTATGGATCTGATTAACCATTCTAGCAAAGACCTTCTCCCCATTATCCCTCCTTTCAGTCCAGTCTCTGATACTAGGAACAGGCAAGGATCAGCTGAGGCTGGGTATTAGGATGGTGGAGAAGGGAAAATTGGACCACAAATGATAGCATTCTCATTGGTGGGCAGAGAGAGGGAGGGATATCCCTAAAGATTCCTATGTTAATAATTTATATCCTATCAGATATGGATATAAAAGTAGAGATGTTTTATTCCGTACTCTGAATTGATTGCAGCTCAGTGTATTTGATTCACATATTACTGGGTGTTTGGGGTTTCATATCGATTAACTGACAATCGTCATTGCTGTTGCAATTCAGTCGCAAAGTCATGTCTGACTCTGCAGTCCCATGGACCTGTGGTCCGCCAGGCTCCTCTGCCCATCATTATTACATTCCTTATTTATAAACATGTCCCATGAGTGTGTTAATAGTGATAGGATGCAATATCTCACCCCAAAACTGTGCCTTTTAATATAAATGTAATATTTAAAGAACAGGTTTTTGGAGCCCATGCAAGATTTTAAATGCCTATTCTATTTGATAACACATTTTGTGGAAAATGAGGAAATAACAGACATAGTTCTCTTGATATTACCGTCATTGTATGAGTCGATGTACCTTTTTGACAAATATTGGTTGGCTTCCCACCGTGTCACTTAAAAAACTCAAAATCTTTGTGCTGAGCAAGTGAAACTTTCAAAATGGACACAATGAAAATAAAGCATTGGAATTTGTTTCAAAGTCTTCTTAAGTGTTAACCATGATCAGATTATATCTTATAAGCAGACAAAATACCATTGTTATTTTTCACCCAGTACAAACATTAATCACTGTGTATACCTTTTCATCGGTGTCATATAAACTATTTGTCACTAGATTAAAACAACCAATTAGACTTTTCAATTAGTAGCATTTGTTTCACAGGTATGTTTAGCAGGTACCTTCTATCCAAAAGGCTCTAAGGTAGGTGTTTGGGGCAGGGAGAATCACTGAAAGATGCCAGGCAAAGAGCTAGCCTTCCAGGATCCTAAAAATGTGTGGAGCTAATAAAACATTCCCACAAATAATTAAATTACTGACTGGGAAGTGTTAAGTGCCCTTAGAGTTTAGAAAAAGTGTTTAGAGAATCTTGAGAAGAGAGGAATAACTTAGAAATGGGGTGATCAAAGAAAGTTCACGGAAGAGGGTGCAGTTGACCTGAGCATCAGTGGATGAGACACATTTGGATATAAAGAAACTCAAAAGTAGGACATTTCAAGAGAAAGGAATCTTAAAAGCAGGGAATGTTAGGTGTGAGATGGTGTTTTTTTAGCTGCTGTCCAGGGAAAGGAAACAACAAAACGTTGATTGGAAAGATAGTTTGGATCTTTTTAACACAGTGGGGAGCTTATAGTTCAGAAAGAGATAGGGACTCAACGGCGATGACAAGCAGAGATGTGACACCAGACTCGAGAGTCTGTTAGTGGAGAAGGGACAAAACAGTCTAGGCAGAAGGACAGCATAGATTTGAATGGTCATGGAAAGATGTCCTGGGAACAGTGAGACCTCTGTTATGGCCTGAGTGCATGTGGAATGAGAGAGGCTGCAAGGCAAGACAAGACAAGAAAGGAAGGTTGCAGACAAATGCCAAGGGAATTACATGCCAAGCTAAGGAGTTTGGTGTTTACCTTCTGCAGACACAAGAGCTGATGAAGAGTTTGTAAGATAACTCTGTGGGCAGGGTGGAGCCTAGGCTAACAGAGGTCAGCTGGCTTTTACTATACAGGGCCAGATCATAAATATTTTAGACTTTGTGAACCATGTATGATCTCTGCTGGGTATTCTTGTTCTTTCCTTTTCTCTTTCTTAAATTCTTTCTTGCCTTTACTCGTAAGTTTTTTCTTTCCTTTCTTCTTTTTCATAACAATTCTTTTTTTTTTTAATTATTTTTAATTGAAGGATAATTGCTTTACAATATTGGCTTGATGTCTGCTGTACATCAACACGAATGCTTTTTTTAAAATTGTAAAAACCATTCTCCTCTGCTTTGGCCCTCTGGAAGTGAAATGACAGAAGTAGCAGATAGAAATCGGACACAGGCTATTGTGAAGAAGGTCTGGTCTAAGCGGTGGTGATAGAGATAATGGTGAGGAGATGCATGGGGATGGGTCTGAAGCAGAATTAGTTTCAGCAGTTGCTTGACGATGGGGAATTAGGAAGAAAAGGGAAAATCAAGTATGATTCTGAGGCTTCTTGCTTGAGAGACTAGGTATTAACTTCTCACCAAGACTATGCTTGTCCCACCAAGACTTTGCTCTTATCAAAACTGCAGGGAGTTTTGAGAGAAGATGGATTCAGTTTTGAAGCTGCAGAGATCGATGTATCTGTGGGTCATTCAGGAAAAGGGTGTCTGGGGACAGCTGGCTCTGTGGGTCTGAGGCCAAGTTTCCTCCCATCCAGAACATGCACCTCACGGAGAGCCTCTGAGGCAATAGGTCAGAAAGTATGGAGTGTCGTGAGAGTCTACAGAACAGGAAAGAGCTGGTCCTGAGGAAGCTCAGACTGGCCCCAGGATTTGGGATGTTGGAGAGGCTGAGAGTGGTACCTGGGAAGACCAGGTAGGGAGCTCTTGTGATCATCATCTAAGAAAGAGGGAGTAGTATCTCAGATTTGAGTGATGACAGTGGGACAGAGAAGGCAACAGCTGGGGGTGACAGCCTGGGGCAGAACCTTGAGGACGGGGGAAGAAAGAGGCCTTCTGTGAGCACTGTCCTCGATTCCCGTGTCTTGGGATAATGCCCCCTCTAGTCTTTCTTCTTCTAGGTCTTGTCTTAGAAACCTAGCTAAGTGACTGAAGCCCACAGAGCATATAATCTGACTCCTTTCATAGCTTTCCATTTTTGCAAATGTCCCCTTTTAGAATACAGTAAAGGATGGCCATGTGCCATCTTGCAAAACCCTTCGCATAATCTCCATTCACAGAAAAGGGAAATGTCAAAAAAAAAAAAGAACACTCGGTAAAAGAGTTCTTTAAAAACATTTAAGATTTTGGAACTAGGTTACATCCTAACCAAGGACTTTAAAATTGTCTAAGTCTAGAGTACGCTACCAATCAAGGTGAACTTGCATGTCATCAGCTTCCCTGCAATGTGTCACAGTGGATCTCAACAGTCGCTCGTGACCTTATTTAGCTCCTCTTCCTTGCAAGTTTGAGTGCCATTGAGAAATGGTAACTCTGTACACATGTCTTCCCAGTGCATTTAGCTGCTGTATTAAAACACATATATAATCACCTCTGTCCACAGTGCACTCACTCTAACACTCAAGATGCTTGGAGGTTAGACTAGAAAGGGCACAACACCGTTTTTTTGTCTGTTTGGCAATTAACCATTCACTGGCTTTTTTTGTTGTAACATGCACTTCCTTTCTCTTGTTTTCGTTCAAGCTGTGTACGCCATGGAAATTAATGTGGAGAAAGACAAACAAACAGGAGAGACCAAGACTCTCTCTACATCCACCATTGGCCCAGAGGGGGTCCATCAGAGAGGAGTCAAAGTCTTTGATGATGGTACCAAAGTAGTGTATGAGGTGCACTCAGGAGGCACCCTAGTAGAAAACGGAGTGCACACATTAAACTCAAAGGATGTAGAAGAGCTTATTCAGAAAGCTGGACAATCAAGCTTAAGAGGAGGGCACGTGTCAGAAAGGACTGGGATTGCAGATGGGAGCCTCAGCCACCCTAAGGAACACATGCTCTGCAAAGAAGCCAAGTTAGAAATGGTCCATAAGTCTAGGAAAGATCATTCTTCTGGGAACCCAGGGCAGCAGGCTCCAGCCCCCAGCACTGAAGGGCCGGAGGCAAACTTGGATCAGCCAGTCACCATGATTTTCATGGGCTACCAAAATATCGAGGATGAAGAGGAGACGAAGAAGGTGCTAGGCTATGATGAAACCATCAAGGCTGAGTTGGTCCTCATTGACGAAGATGATGAGAAGTCATTGAGGGAGAAGACGGTGACAGACGTGTCCACCATTGATGGGAATGCAGCCGAGCTGGTGTCCGGGAGACCCATCTCAGACACCACTGAGACACCCTCATCCCCTGAAGGGAAGGAAGAGAGCTTGGCCACGGAGCCAGCCCCAGGTACCCAAAAGAAAAAGCGCTGTCAATGCTGTGTTGTCATGTGACCACTTCTTTCTTCCCCTTTCTTCCGGGCAGCCTCTGTGCTCTCCACCACTTACGTAGACCTCACTGTACCACTAACTGCGATACTGTGAACTGGAAGCAAACACCTGCCTTGCCTTGCAGTTGGATTGCTTTGATCCCTCTTATTTTTTTCCCCTTTCGTTTTTTTCTCCAGTTTCCTCAGCTCAGAGACAACATGCATGTGTGTGCTTCACTCTTTCCAAGAACTTGCTTTTCCTCTAAACTTTTCCTTGTGTCTTCAAGAGGGAATCGGTTCCTTACTGCTCGATTGGAATGGACTCTTCATATCAGCCAGTGATCTCGTAGCCTTAATTCATTTGACTGGAATTGAACCCGTGGGCACCAGGGGAATCATTTTGTCGTGTTCCTATCATGTAGTCACACATCGCCAGGTCGCTGATTTCTCACTTGCCTCCCTTACTGTGGATCTTTGCTTTTATATCTTATGTGGCAAAATGCTGTGGGGTCTAGCCAGACACTGGTGTAGCCAAAAGTGGACCTTACTTAGTCTGTTCGATCTAGGGTGATGCTTTTTGCTGCCTTACATAAGCTTCCAGGTTACAGTATTGTGCATCTCTGGCTTTCCTTCTGTTAAAACTGAAATGAAGTTGATGTAAAAGAAAAAGAACCCAGTGCTTATTACAGCTGAATTATAGGGACTAATTCCATAACCTGCCCATCAGCAGCTGTCTCTCTTTCTTATGACTTAACTGATGGACCCTTTATATAAGAAACACCATTTTTAACTTTCTAAGGACATGAAACAAGCATTGTTTTGAGCATCAGTAGTGATCTCCAAACTTAGGCAAATCCTTGAACCTTGCTTTTATTCTCTAAAAAAAAAGTGTAAATTTTTGTATTGTTTTCTTTTTCATGGATATATTCCGATCAGTTAATCTGTTTTCAGTGAAGTGGTCATTTTGAGAAGTTTCTCTGTTGTGACCATATTTCTAAAACAGGCCTTCTGACCTGCAGTGGTTGCTGGCATGCTTCCGGTCCATCCATTGTGGACGGTGCTGTTCCTGAATTAACTCTTCATTCACCTGCCCTGTTGATTCCAGAGCTTTCCATCTGGACTCTTTTCTTTATGTCCCTACGAAAAAGAGAATGTTACCTGTACCTTCACCGTGTAGGTTTATCCACCCTGCAAAATTAAACTTTAAAATGTAGGGGGGAAAAAAGGTTTCAAAGATGAAGAAAGACCTCTCTTATCACTTTAAGTACTTTGAATTCATTCCATAAATACTGATGGAGTGAGTGGCACATAATTGAGCTTCTTCAATATTGTTTTCTCAACTTATAAAGATTCCAGAACATCAAGGGTGGTTTTTATCTAGAACACAATGAACAGTTCTTTAAATGCTTAGCATTTCTCCCAAAGCAAATAGCCACAGCTATAAAAGAACCAAAGGGAAGCAATATAATAAAATAATAATAGAGCAATGAAATAAAGCTGTAGCATTTGAATTGATTTTAAAACAAATATATCTTTTAAGTTTTTTGCCAAATGTTCTTAGTATTGTTGCAGATAATTCACAAATTTATCCATGTTCCATAGAACATAAATTTTAAAAATATATGATAAGATGTACTAGATCAAGTTCAACTTCCGTGAAAAGTATTGAGAGGAGGCAAAAGCAAAGTGACCTGGAGAGAATTTTATTACAGAACCAACTCAATTTGTCCTAAATAGCTTTCTTAGTGCTAAATTTATTATTTTTAATATATTGGCTTGAAATTGTACTTACTCCAGTTAGAAGGGGGAAAAACAATATTTTTTAGTTTTCGAACAATTACACTTAACGAGCACAAAATAAGTCATTTGATCACCAAGATGTAAACCAAAAAAAGTTTAAAAAGGGAAAAATTAATGAGCTAAGTTCTACTTTCTAAGGTGATTCCATCCATGGCTTGATTTGGAACAGCTGAGGGAATTCTCTCTAAATCTCAGGTTTAGCAAAGCAGCTGTTTTTGAATAAAACTGCTCTATTATCTAGAAATAATATCTGGTTTTGCTGCCTATAAACCTCACTACTTTCAGCTTCATGCTCCTCAGTAAATGCTTGTTTAAGCATCATTTTAAAACTTAGAAGACAAGCCAGAGAAACCTATTAGAAAAAGAAAGCAGCTTCAATGTTTTGGACAATCTCTGATTTTAATAATTTATTTAGAAATAAATAATATAAAAGTTTCCCATCTATTTTTTTTTCCTCACTTGAGGATGAAAACTATTCCATATGAGTTTTTAAAAGCACAGTTAGTGAGTGAAATGATAGAATTTAGCCTTGGGCGTGTTGTTTGATAAACAGAACCAGAGTCTCTCAGGACAGCTGATTCCCTGATCTGAACTAAGCTTCCATCAGTGAGTTAGTTTTTCATGAAGAAAATTTTCTGTACCTCTCACTACACCACCACACATGAGATCTAACAGACCAGTGATATTCTGTGCTCTCATTTATTGATAATTAGTGTAGGGGTTAGCAGATTATATGAATTAAAGCTCATTCTCTGCTTTTACTAGGGAAACTTATGATTTAAATGGTTTTTCAAGTAAGATGTGTTACCTTTATGAAAAATGATGTGTGGCCACAAAAAATGAAGATGTGTTTGAATATGACATATATATTTGTATAGCTTGCCTTGTTTTCCTGTCACAGTGGGGGATTCAGAGTCAGCCAGTTCTTTAATGGGATGAGACCTGTAATTGCATCTACAGCAAAAAGGAACTATCTTTCATAGTGAAGATATAAACAGAATTGTGACTGTGAACATTCTACCTTTCCTGCTGGTGCTGGCATTGTCTCTGTAAAAACTTCATGATGTATGGCATCATGCCCTTCAAAAATTCAGGGTGTTGACCTACATCACCAGGCTAATTAGAGAATCAGTAAGAAAGCTATCAATACAAAACCATGGTCATTTTTGAGGTCATAGTTGGACTTTCTTTCCAAATCATAGATCAGAACCCTTTTAAATGGGAAGAGGGAAAGGAGGGACATTTCATTTACTTATAAATAGATTCTCAATGGCATGAAATTAAAAGATTCTTTTAGAGTTAAAATGGTAAACATAAATCTTGCATATCCTGAAAAATTGTGGTGACTTGTATACCTTTGACTTGTTTATTCCTTTTGATGTGCAATAGGACAAAAGGAAGGGGCTTTTCTTTTTTCACTCTGTGCTTTATTTACTTACAATTATATTATTTTCCTTATATAAGCAAAATTAGTTGCCTCTAAAAGTGATTTGACAGTGTCCAGTAATGTCACTTAATATTGGAGTAAAGAGGACAAGACACTAGGAATTCCTTTCTGGCCAAACCCCAATCATGGTTTCCTAAAACTATCCAAAGGCTTTCAGAAAACACAAACAAATTCTAGAGTTGAGTTGATTTGACTCTGAAATGTTAACGACATGTATCAGCTTCTGATTCCCACCTAGTCCATTTTACTTTTTCTGGCAATAAATGTGTTTTTCCTAAATGCAAGGAAACTTTTATTTGGTTAGGGGTAAGTTTTTATAAAAGGGGAAAAATATCTCTATATAATTTCCTAGAGATACAATATCATCTCTGGAGCAAAACGTTGAGGCCAAGTCTGAAAACAGCTTATTTCTTTTCACTTCGTTCAGAATTTCATTTCAAGGGACCATAGAACACCCTTGATGATGACCATTTATTTAATGCAAGTGAACCAGTGGGTAGCAAAAGAGGTGGCATATACGGTGACAGAGGCAAAAACTGAATCACTAAACCAATTCTTTCTTTAAAAAAAATAATAACTGTCAGTGTAAAACACAGATGAACACAGGCAAAATAAGCATGGAGGACTTACTTTTGTTCTCTCTTAAAATCTAGAAGCTCAGCCATCTCTGTTTGTTAACAGACCCACTTGTGGAGTTCATCCCACCAAAGGGCCCATACCTTGTGGGAATATTCTGATCTGCAATGTTACTTTGTTTACAACAAAAACCATTCCAAGGCAAGAACAGTTTTATGTTGTACTTTTGCAGTGTGCACATTCATCATTGAAACCAAGAATTCTCAGCATGGTTAAAAGATAAGTTTCAGAAACTCTGTAGATAGGTAATCTTTTAGAAGCTCCTCAATTTATTAATCAAGGTATGCGTAGCTCTGCTGATGAGGATAGAACCAGAAAGCGTCTCTTGTGCTATTGGATAGTATTATTATGACCCAGTGCATACATGGAATGATGTTATATATCACAAAACAATTCCAAGTACTGAGCAGGATGAGATCTTGGATTCCTGGGACCAGTTCATCTTCATTGTGAAGACCTCTTCTGGTCTTATAGGGAAAACTTCTCTGCATTTTCTTGGGAAAAAGAAAAGTCCGTCTTTTATGAGGAGCACAATGCTGTTATATATCTGTATTTTCATAGCTTCAGCAAACTCCATAATATAATCCCCATTTTAATAGAAACCAAAATACTTATTATTTGAATGTAGAAAGGCTAGAATAAAAATTACATCCTGAAAGTTTCCAGGGGTAATTTCCCTGGGGAATCCTTGAATCAGCCTCATCCTACCACCCCTTAATTTTTGTATGACTTAAATAGGCCTCTGTGTCCCCTCTCCACTCCAGTCTAAAAGGTCTGAACTGTAGCACAAAAAACTTGCTGTCAGTGTGAAAATACCATATGTATTTTTGCTGGGGACCACAGACTTTCTGCATCAAAGATCTGGGCAGCCTTAACTTTTATAAAAGAATTTTCAATGCTCTCTTTTACTAAGCAGGGAAACAAATGTTTCCTGAAATTAATGACTTTTTTATATTTTGTGACTATTTTCTAAGTTTCTACAGGTTCATCTTTTCCCCATATTGCCTCTTACTAGTCACCTGGGGCTATTTTTTGCAAGTCATTGCATTTTTATCAAAAGAAAAGTACATCTCATGAACCACAAAATTCCCTCTAGAC